TGTGTTGCTGGAACTGCAAGTGGCAGCTTCACCTGATGCGCCACGATGCTGGGCCCTGGCATGGTGACCTGCCTGCTGCACCACACACAGGCCTCAGATAACTGAACTCCAAAATGACTGCAGAATTCTAGCACAGTCTGCTAAGAGTACTCCTCAGTTAGTTAATATGCTCCATTATTTGAAAGAGGCTGTCATTGTCACCTGTTCAGGAAGACAGAGCCTTTTCCTGCTCCCTTGTCAGAGATATATTTGCACAATGGCCTATTGGAACAGGTTGTTTGTGAGAAAATGTGCACCACTTTGCAGGAATTGCAGGACGCAGTTAAGAGATATTTCTGAAATTGTGTTAAGGATCAGACAAGTTAAATATTTAGAAAAATATACTCACAATATAGACAAATTCTTCTTTCACAAAACTTGCAGCCTGTGATTGGCCACGGACATACAAAAGCACAACAAATCTTATTCCGTGAAGCTAATAAAATGTTTTGGGAATCGTGACCTACGGTGTAGATGTAGGAACACAGAGTCTACTGCACAAATCTGTCTCTTTTTTAAAGACTTATTTCATTTTTGTTTGAAAGGCGGCATTATAGAGAGGCAGAGATAATGGCCACAAAAACTGGAGCTGAGCCAGTCCAAAGCCAGGAGCAGGGACCCTTCTTCAGATCTCTGGGACATGACTTGGAGCTCATATGGGGGCATGATACCACCCTCGCATAGATTTTTAAGGTACGAGCTTGGGCTGCATGGTGACATAACAAGCCAGTCCTTCTGCAGCAGAACCAGTATCCCACATGGGCCGCCCTGCTTCTGATCCATCTCCCTGCATATGGCCTGGGAAGATAGCAGAGAATGACTCAAGTTCCTGGGCCTTTGTACCTGCTTGGAGGACTTGAGAGGCGATCCTGGCTCCTGGCATTGGATGAGCTCAGCTCTGACTGTTGTGGTCTTTTGGGGAATGAAAAAGAGAATGCGATATCTCACTGTCTTGGTCTCTCCTCTTTGCAAATCTGCCTTCCAAATAAAAATAAACAAATCTTAAGAGCTCAAGAAGGAGAAGGCCTAATTTTTGGTAAGATTTACGATACATTTGAAGTAAGAAAAAGGAGCACCAACAGAATATTTCCTGAGTCAGACATGAAAGACCAGGGCAGTGTGCATCGAGAAAGCTGTAAGAGAAAAATCAATGTGAAGGCCACATATCCAAAAACGCCGTAGATAGAAAAAGTGCCTTCGCTAATCCAAAGCAAACAAAAGGGGGAATTATCACTAATTTCCAAACATGTTGATAATAGAGCTCATTCTCAAGGATGAAATATATCATCACTCTTAGTTCCCAGTACGATGAGGTTGTATGAACTCTATATTCTTAGGTATTGTCCCATTCATTTCTAAGTGGGTTGTGCTCTGTCCTGCTTAAGTCTGACTTACAAGTAGTGGATGTCACTACATAACACTTGACCTTGAGGGGCTGGGGGTTAATTTTGTGGTGTATGACTACACCTATTGCAGATAGACTTGACCTGATGGAAATTGTTTCCCTGCACTTCGTTTTTTTTTAAAGGATATTTATTTATTTGTTACATTGCATTATGTGACACAGTTTCATAGGCTCTGGGCATCCCCAGCCCCTCCCCGTACCACGCCCCCATGGTCAAGTTACTCTTAAAGAAAATCTTATTGTTACAATTGGACATATTTGTGGGATGCAGTGTGATATTTCAGCACAGGTATTAACCCATGAAGTTAGCATTTCAAGCCGCTTAAACTCCTTTTAAAATTTTTAATTAACACAAGGTAAATGTCCATGTTTGTGCATGTGAACTGATCAAATCAAGGTAATTAAAATTTAAATCCCATGATCATCACTTCATGTTTTCAGACCTTCAGTTCCTCTCTTGCAGTTATTCATAAAATATACAATATACTGTTGTGAGACACGGTTCTGAAATCCTTGCAACATTTCTCTTCGAAATTTCCTGTCATTGCTCTTTTAAGTTGTGACCACTAGAGGTCAGAATTTCACATAAGTTGCTTCAAGAACCACACCAAAGTAAAGGAAAAAAAAAAAAATTGTTTTCCTACCAAGCAGCATAAATAAGAAATTTCAGGCATAGAGAGGAAAATAATGCTTTTCAATAAAGAAGTTTTGATAACTGGAAAAGTGCTTATTTCCCAAAGTGCAACTGAACACTTCTTTAATGGAAAGAAGAAGGAAATAATAATGAAGTGTGCTAAAGATTTGTCTAGGACGTCTACACAGCTTAAGGTTTACATAGAATATCTTCCACTCTTTTTAAAACAAGTTTCTGAGGAAACTGAAGCAAAACAGATACAATGTCAGGTTGAAGATCAAACAGTTCAAGTCTAGTCTTTTTCCACTAAGTCACATTTGGTAATTAATTCCCAAAAGATAATGCCCGTGGGTTGTCAATGATTTCATATTCTAATTTTGTTCTGGGCTTTTTGCCCTCAACTCTAGCGAAGTTACTTGGTCCACTCTCTGAAATGAATTTTGGGAAATTCCTTTAATTGTTTCCCAGTAAAAGTCTCTGGGTGTGAAGCCGCTGTGTTGGTATGTACCAGGGAGGGACGGCTAGTCATGAAGAGAAACACAGATCAGTTTCATCTAAGGGAGAAAGCGTGAACCAAAGCATAAGTTATTCTCTCAAGATGTTGTTTCTTCATTTTGTTAAGAACATAATTCTGCCTCATTGCGGGTTGGGGCTGTTCTAATATTAACAAAGAAATGAGGTAGAATAGAGAGCAGTTTACATTTTGACAGAAGGTACCATGTCTGTTTTTAGCGTGCAAATATCCACAGCATTTGACACAAAAGGAAGGCAGAAGTGAAGGGGCTCCTGTGACTGCGTGCAGGTGTAGGCACTAAGTGAACTATCAGGCTCATTGGATGCTGAGCGCAAGAGTCTTCAATCCACTACCAAGCTTGGCATGCAGTAGCAACTGCCACAGTAAGTTCCTTTTCTTAACATCTAACATGATATCAAGGGCTTAATGCAATTCAGAACACTCCAGAATTGTGATAAATCTTTCCTAAGAGGACTTAGAATCTCTTTGATACAGAATTCCCAACTTCTAGAGAAAGATCAGCAGGACCCACACCAGAGTGTACAGTAGAATTGGTTCCCAAACCCAGAATTCTGAGAAATCCCTGAGTGCTTCTCGCCTGGGGAATATGCAGTGTCTCACCTTATGTCAGTTGGGCTTGAAATCATCTCATAATTCATCCAGCCAAAAGAAGGCAGTTAGAGAGGTCTCTGTTGTTTGAAATCGTAACAGGCCTTCCAAAGGCAAGGAAGGAGCTTTGTGGAAGGTGAAGCAACAGGGTAAGAGGCTTCCTGACAGCCACCCTGCAGGTATTCAATAAATACTAACTGCATCTGATTGAAGTGATAAGGAAACACTAAACATATCTTTCAATTAATAAGACCCTCCCCACCAAGTACATTCTATACATTTTCTCTTCTCTTTCTACTAAGCTTTGCCTCTCCCTAGAATGTGCTCCATATGCCCAACTCAGTAATGACTTTCTGAGAAAATCTCTCGTGGCCCTCGTTTCCCCTCCTTAATTATTGATTTGTTCAGTGCTCATGACACTCATATACGTTCTGTAATGTATCTCTGGTGCCTAAAATAGTATTTGCCATTTACTAAGCACTGTATATAAACTGAGCTGGAATAAACGGACTGTTGGATTGAAATGAATCAAATTTTAAGCATTCTTTGAACACCAACATGTTTGTCCATCTTCTTACAGTTTGAAAGTTGCAATGTCTCTGCAAAGAAAATTATTTAAACAGCGCTGTTGTCAAATGAATTCTCCCATTTGCACAGACAAGGAAGACCTTGAATTTCCAGCATTCCTCGTAAGACTCCAAGAATCAGGCAAATTTGCCACCCTCCCTGAAAAAAAAGTCTCCAGTAACAGTTTTCGGTGAATAGTTTATTTCTAATGGAAACTGTCCTTTCTTGAACGCTTGCCCTTACATTATTCATTTACTCACCCAAGAAATTATTTGGAAGCCGTAAGGTCTCATTGTTCCTCTCTGCATTTATTTTATGGTATCAAAGGTTAAAACTTGGATTGCAATCTTAGAGGGAAATTAATTCACTGATGAAGAAAATGCACTTTAAGCAACGTACATTTAAATAACTGACAAGCACGGGGCCATGTACATTTGATTTTTTTATTTTTTGAAAGACTCGTTTTCTGCTTAAAATTTTAAGCAGCTGCAATCCTTCCACCCTATAGCCTGGAGAAACATAGCATGAATTCCTAATGAAAACACCAATCTGCACTGCAGTGACCACTCTCAGAACAAAAGTGTAAGAACTAAAATCAGGAAAACAAGATTTCTGTTTTAATCCACTAGTTGCTTAAAGCATGTTTGGACCTTGGCTCTACTTGAAACAGAAATTGAAATATGCTAGCATTCTTCTGCAAAAGGCGCATGGCATCAAAGTCTTTACTTTCAAATAAAGAAATGTTCATTTATGTACTACTTTCAGTCGTTGACGGTTATCTCACCCTATCCATTGGAACTCAAGAACCAATTCATTTATGAGATAGATAACTATTTGGTTCTTACATTATTGAATCTTTTTGTTTTTCTTTTTGCTGAAATAGCTGAACCAGAATCAGTATGAAAAAGCAGTAGCACAAAAACTATTTGAGAACAGAGACATTCTTTTAAAGAAAGAAAGAAAAAAAAATACAGATGCTCTTAAAGAAAGACTTCCTCTGGGAGAGGAAATTCCTCCAGATCTTGGGTAGATTTGGCTAGATTCCTCCCAGCGGTTTTGCCATCCCCACTCTCCCACCTAACATGAAAGGACTTTAAGTAAGAATCAACCCACAGATTTTTTCCAGAATAGAATGAAAGTGGGAGAGAGAAGAGAAGGATTGTCAGTTAGGACAAGGCCAAGAAATGTGGGAAGAGGCCAGATTTATGAAGAATCTTGATTTCTTTCCTCACCTTTTGGTCCTGGTGAAATTGTGTGCGTGGCACAAACTTCTGCCGTAGGGCGACTATCGATGTCTAGACTCAGACTCTGAATTTGCAAGAGAAATAGCACCAGGAGGATAAACTGCTTTCGTAGAACCAGGGTTCCAAAGCCATTCATTGCTGTTGGATCCTCAGAAAGGGGTTTCCAAGAAATGCTAACTAGGTAGCTTTATTTTAAATCAAACCTTCAGCTTTGGGGAAGAAAGGGCAGTATGTGAAGCACACATTCCAAAAAGGTTACAAAAGCAAGAAGTGTATCGTGGATTGTTTATTTTCTCAGTATTCCAAATGGACCATACATTGTCCAGACTGTTTATTTTCAAATGACAGCAGTTTATTTTAAATTATCTCTGAACTAAACACTCAGAGTGCCTATCAGAAGAAACATTCCCAAGAGCAGAGAGGCTAGAGACGTCTTTACTCAGTACTTGGGTTGACAATTTAATAGGTTATGTTGCATTTAAATTCTGAGCTCCGGAAAGGCTGTGAATGAGAGATTTCTTCACTTATCCACATGCTATGTCTTTGACCTTTTCGAAAGTAATGTACATTACTTGCTTATGCAAGTTGAGTTCCAACACTTCCAATGCCTTCCCTGACCTTGCTTTCCTCCTCCAGCTACCATGAATTATCATGGGACTGAACTCAAAAGGACAGAATAATCAATTTCTCTGTAAAATGATTAGATAATATGTATTAAGAATATTAAAAATGTTTCTGACCTTTGGCCTTAAAGTTGCATTACTGGCACACTAGCCCAAGGAGATATTCTGAAGAATGGAAAAATTTTATTTGAAGAGATATGGCAAAAAGGGGTAGGGGCATCAACTGCCCAAAATACATAAAGGGATAGTAGACTATTCTTAACAAAAACATGTAAGAGGGATTAACATGATAGGTTTATCAAAAGCGTGGTAGTGGCAGTATTCAGTTCATTTTTTATAATGGGTGGGGGAAATTTTAATACTACGATTCTTAGAACAGATTTAGGTGTAAATTGTGTAGATATGATACAGACATGGAGAGATTGAGATCTTTTAGGCTGCCTATTGCACCATCCTGTAACTTGCATTACTAATTTAGGCTTAATAAGATATTTGAAAAATAGAACCAGAATAACAAACTTTTAAGAGGCTCCTGGCTTTCTCCATTCTTTAAAAGTCATAGTAACTAAGATTTTGGCAGAAGGGATTTTGAATTTATTTTCCTTAAAACTGTAAAAGAAGGACCTTACATATCCCAACAAAAGTTGCTAAATAATGATCTCAAAGAGATGTTACCATCACAAGCAGTGGTCAATCTGAATAATAAAAACTAGGACTACTGCTACAACATACCCTGTAAGTCTTGCTTGTTTAATTTAAAAAAATGTTTTCCTGAGGTATAAGGCTCAGAATTTCAACAGGTTTATTTTGGTGTCAGAGGAACATGATTCAACCCATTACTTTCTTTTTTAACATTTATTTATATTTACAGAGAGAAGGAGAGACAGAGAGAAAGGTCATCCATCTATTGGTTCACCCCTCAAGTGACCACAACAGCCGGAGCTGAGCTGATTTAAAGCCCAGAACTGTTTAGGCCTTCCACGTAGGTGCAGGGTCCTAAGGTTTTGGGCCATCCTTTACTGCTGTCACAGAACACAAACAGGGAACTGGATTGGAAATGGAATAGCTAGGACATGAACTGAAGCCCATATGGAATCCCGGCATGTGCAAGGTGAGGGTTTAGCCACTGAGTCACCGTGCGGGATCCCAATCCATTAATTTCTTACAGTATGGCTGAATTAAGAGCAAGGGAAAGGAATGGACATTGATCAAAGAGACCTTATGTACAAACTAAGGGCTGTTGTCAAGTTTAACTTCTGTAAATCTCAAAATAGCCCAGTGGTGTATACAGTGATCCTTCCATTTTGCAGGCAAGGGAGCTGGGGCTCACAAAAGGTAAGCAGCTCATACAGGAACATTTATTCTTCAACAGTTAAAAGTCAAATAAGAGTTACTTGCAGGAATTTCTGCTTTAAAAATACTATTTGGTTTCCCCAAGGATAAATCTCAAGCTCTGAAAATGCATTAATTTTCATATATGCTTAACATGTCCAAAGTGGATTCATTTGTCAGGTTAACAGTGATAGGAAAATAGAGAAAACTAATAGAATGATGTTAGAAGCCTCAAATTCCACATTTGTTACAGTCATATAAATTACATACAAGCAATCACTCAATTTCAATAGTCACAAAGCATATAAAGTGAATTTGGACTTAGTACTTCATGTTATTTCTGAATCCTATGATTCTTTAAGAATTGGTACTTTTGACATTGCTTGGACTACTCTGCATGTACTTCGCTTTTTCTGTCTTTTAAGTATCCTCTGGAATACAACAAAAACAGAATAACTGCATTTATACATAGATATCCATTCTCAAAATTTGAAGTGAACAACAGTCCTTAACATCGTTTTTCAGAATATTTTACTTGTCCTTTTTCCAATATATATATTTTAAATCAACACAGATAGGGCCTGATGCAGTAGTATAGCAGTAAAAGTCCTCACCTTGCGTGCACCTGAGATCCCATTTGGGCACTGGTTCTAATCCTGGCAGTGCTGCTTCCTATCCAGCTCCCTGCTTCTGGCCTGGAAAAGTGATCAAGGATGGCAGAAAGCCTTGGGACTGTGCACCTGTGTGGGAGACCCAGAAGGAGGCTCCTGGTTCTTGGCTCCTGGCTTCAGATCGGCTCAGCTCTGGCTGTTGTGACCACTTGGAGAGTGAATCATTGGACGGATAGAGGATCTTTCTCTCTCTCTCTTTCCTCCTCTTTGTATATCTGACTTTCCAATAAAAAATAAATACATCTTTAAACATTCAATACAGATAAATTTCCTTATTGTTGAATCAAAAATGCCATAATTAATAGTTTTCTAGCATTTCCCCATATATTTTAGTCTTATTTATTTTAATTTTCTTTTGAAAGATAGAAAGACACAGAGAGATCCCCCACCTGCTGATTCACTCTCCAAATGCCTGCAAGAGAGGGGGTTGGGCGAGGCTAAAGCCAGAAGACTAGAATTCAATCTGGGTTTCTCATGTAGGTGGCAGGACTCTAGCACTTTCATCTTCATCTTGTGCTTCTCAGAGTGCACTTTACCAGGAAGCTGGATTGAAAAGAGGAGTCAGATTGGAACCCAGACAGATATAGAATGTGATGTCTCAAGTAACAGTTCAACCATTGCGCCAAATGCCTGCTCCCATCACATGTTATATGTATAAAAATATTTAACCTATATATGCCCTGTTGTGGAGAATTTAAATATTTTAACCTATTAATAAAAGTGACATTACATAAGCTTATTTTGAGATGATGTGTCCTCATCCCTTTTGCCCTTGAAGAAAAGTCTATAGAGCTTACTAATGCATTGCATGTTGACAGCAAGAGACACTGAGAAGTATTTTAAAGCAAATCATGTAATAGCCACATTGTGCAGTCTATCCCATGCTCCTTTTCCTCAGAGCTGAATTTTATTTCATAGTTCTTGGAAGTTATGGTTTCCCCTGTTATTCACTGATAAGTAAGGACCATTTTTAAATAGGGGTGTTTTCATGGGGCAGTGAGGGATGCTCGGCTGTTAGCCGGGATTTACCAAGAGATTTGCTTTTAAAAATTACTCCATAACCTCGGGCTGAATGACCATAAGCACACATTGCAACTAAGAAAAACTGGGAAACAGAATTGAAGGGAGTCAAATGAGTTTGCTTGAGTTAAAGATCAGGAATATAGCAAGATGGAGATTATAAATGAGAAGTGTAGGATTCAGGTTCTGGTTCTTGGTGAAGTCAGATGGTTGAGATTTCAGTTTGAAGGCCATTGGTTTGGAGACTGTAAAACATTAAGTAAGCAGAGAACTTGAGGAATATAAAATGTTGAAGAATTCTACATTCAGGAGAATCGATGAAGGTAGATAGGTGTCAAAAGGAACAGTCAAAGGCAATCAATGGAGAAGAAAATGGATGCAGAAGAAAACTGTGAGCCTGATGGGACTATCATCATAAAAGACTTTGTGTTTTCCTTTGATAATCCGGTGTTAGATGACATACATTTTAAAGTACAAGGTACTTCAATGAGATTTTAAACTGTGAAGTGTATTCTCTTTAGATCATTAAAAATTCCCAATTCTATCACAAGAGATTGTTATTGCCACTTAAAAGAGTTCATGCTCTTTTATCCAAAAATATATGAAACCATGGTAAACCTTAAGTCAACACTTCTTTTGGTTTAAACGTGATTTTGGAATACGCAGCAAGCCAATCAAGCTCAAGCTACATGGAACTGGAAGGAGTTGATGGAAGTTACAAAAAAAGATTTGTACCTGATTTGGAAACTTGCATAAATAGCTCCAGATTCTCCCAATTGTTTTCACCTTCCATCTCCAAAGACACTGACACCCAGGTGTAGCGTTGTGCTGTCAAAATATGACAGGTTATTTAACTGAATGTCAAGCGACATTTCCCTGCTGCTATAGTAATTGGATTTAATGGTTTCATCACCCCACCACCCCCAAACAGATATGTGCACATCCCAATCTGTGCCTCCTGGAAAAATGACCTGATTTGGTGAAAGATCTTTCCAGATGTGATTAAGTTAAGAGTCCAAGATAAGAGTCCAAGATGATACCATCTTATTATATGAATGGGTTCTAAATCTAAGTACCCTTGTAACTGATTTGCCAAGGAGAGAGGCAAGGGCAAGAGGGGGAGGACGTGTCAAGGCAGGCCAGTGGAGTCATGCAGCTGCAAGCTAAGATATGGTGTTGCAACCACAAAATACTGTAGAAGGCTGGAAGGGTCCGCCCTTACAGCTTCTCCCCCTGCCTCAGCCTTGTCAACACCTTCACTGCAAGCTGGAGCCTTCAAAACTGTGAGATAATGGATTTTTCTTCTTTTAAAACTCCAACTTTGCAGTAATTTGCAATGGCAACCCTGGGAAACACACGCCGTTCTTGCACTATTCTCGCACTGTTACTGGAAGAAATGACGTATCAGAACATTTGCTCAGTGCCTGACAGAGACCTAGCAGCATCTGTTCTGGTACATTTTAATTATCTTGCATTCAGCTTAGATGCTATCTGGAGGGGAAAT